TACTCGCCATGAGTTTATTACGAGACCGCACTCTTTCCCTGTGACTCTACCGCACTTTAAATAACGCCGTGTCCGTGGCTTTCTATATTTTTCTTTGCTTTCGCACGCTAAATATAGTGCACGTTGGCCTCTGTCGTCGTGCAGCCTACCCAAATGAATGGACGAATGATGAATGAACGAATGATGAATAAACGAATGGAAATATTCTGCGCGGCGTTGGCTATTACGCCAAAGTGCTACACAATCTTGATTTACAACCTGGATGCAGCCAAGTGGATGAGTGAACTGTTTTTTTGTCGTTGCTAAAATATATATATTTTTTTTATTCCACATCCTCCCCTCGCATCAATAGTTCCAGGGTTTTTTTGTGGAATCAGGCATTAGTCCCACACCGGACTTATCAGAGCAGGAGGGGGGGGGAGAGGATTTTCTTTGGGGCAGGGGGATTTTTTTTTATGAAATGCAACAGCTCCGGAGAACACATTTATACTCAGCTGAGCATAACCCTAAATAATTTATATTTGTGTTGGTAATTTCCATGTGTATATGTGTCCTAGAGATCTGTACTTTGGAACCAGCAAGAAAAATCGAGGGCATTGTTTGAACTGTGCCTGCAAAAGATTTCGTGTTGTTCATGAGTAATAATCACCTGACCGTGCACTAAAAAGAACGCACAATGTGTTTAGTTTTAGAAATCTGTTGACTTTGACAGAGACTACTGTAAAAAAAAACCATAAATGTTTAAACAGAGCCATACACCTACTGTATATACTTGCGTGTCTTTTTGCGTGTGTTTCTATGTGTACAAGCTTCTACAAAAAAAACATACAAATATTGACAAAGGTCGTCTCATAGGAACCATAATGACTGTTAGGATGACGACATTTGGTGAGATGGGCCTTGGACCTTCTTGCAATGGCAATGTACGTGTGAAAATGCACGCAGTATAACCAACTTCGAATACTACGACAAGGCCCTTCACGCGCCCTGTCGTATCAATCTTGTGCCGATGGGCAGATGAACACTGCTCATCCACCACAGTGCTTGGTTTACAGTCACGCAATGTCTCACCGCTTGCTGTAACTCAATGAATTGTTGTGATTCGGGGGGGGGGGGGGCGGTCACAATATGATTCAGGAACCCAACTATATATTTATTAACTTATTTATTACCATTGTGCAGCGCGCATAATACTCTTGCGAACGATCACATTGCAACGCGTACGAATCTAAATTAATCCTTGCCACCACGCTTCGATGCGTAAACATCCAAGCCGTAACAATATATTTGAATCGACGCATCGTGAAGTGGCCATTTGGCTTTCACCGTCACTGACTCTTGCCACAACCTGCAGCGCACTTCATCCTGAATCCAAAGTCGCATCCAAATGAAAAAGCTGCAATAAACTGAACATGTGCCAGTGTTTATGGAGTGGACATCCTGTCTGGGTTTCGAAGACCCCTCCCGCCCTTCCCCCGGCGGCCTGTGCAATGAACCCTTCATTCACCTTGGCTGCCTCCTGTTCCGCGGGAACCCGACAGTCGATTTTCTTCCACATGGGCAGAGGGCGAGTGCGGGCACTGGGTGCGGACGTGGGAGGGGGTGGTAAAGGGCGCCTGGCGTGGTTGGCAACTCGTTGGGAACGCAGCTCGTTGGAGGAGGCACGTTTTTTGCGGACCGCACGGAGATCATCATACACGTGGTCACTTATCAGTGCCGTTGTGGAGAATGTAAGTGGCAAAAATAGATTAGCTGGCAATAAGTCTCCCTCATTGTATATATGTCAACACGTAAAAAAAAAGAAATAGCACTCCGAAGAGGGGTTAATGATGACGTCACCCTGCTGCTCTATTTAAGACCGGGAGCAGGAAGAGGGGCTTCACTATGCTGGTAAATTTCCTGATGATGCTGGATGTAATTACCAGCGAAACGTCGTACTCAAAAATTGTAAATGCTGTGGGTTCACTCTCCAACACACCGGTGGGCTAAAGTAGTGAACTATTTGTCTTTTGTCAACGTGACACTTTTTTTACTGATTGGCCATGTCGGGTGGTGGAGGGTTACGACACATTTATAAATAACGCGATCTAACCCAAAAACCTTTATTATGAATAATATTGGTCGCGAAAGCCGAGGGGCCGTCCATAAATGACGTCACGCGATTTTGCCCGATTTTTTACCCCCCCCCTCGTCACACGGCGTCACAAAAAGTCAGACCCCACTCAAATATGACGTCACAAAGCTCGCCCCTTCCCCCCCAAAACCATATATCCATTTTGAAAATCAATCATGCTTCAAATAACTTTAAACTATTGTCATTGTATTTCGTATTTAATGTGGCGCTGCACTCTGATGTTATAGGAGGAAACACGTATTGAAAAGGTGGCGTTGGAAAGCTGAAATTTAGCATAACATTCACTTGAAAATATTCAACGTCTAACTAAAACTGCAGATGTTCAGAATATGATATTGAAATTCTCTTATAATTATAAAATATTAAAAGTAATTCTAACTATAAAAAACACTTGAAACTTTGTAGTAGAACGAAGCAAATTGGAGAGTACAATTATAACAATCACATTCATTCCACAGAATGAAAAGTCCTGGTAGAATCATTAAAATCAAAATGTTTAATAACAATCATAACATTTTTTTAGAAAATTTATGCTTCTCCATTCTGCCATGGAGAAGAAAAATGCTCCTTCATGGAGTAAATAAAAGGTGACCTTAGTAAATTTAAATAATCAAATAGTTAATAATGAAAATTAATCAAAATTAGTGGTTATAACAATTCTATTTAATTAAGTAGAACGTGTTGTTTATATTTAAAGTTGCGCATTTTGATGTGACATCACATTTCTCAACCCCCCCCCCTCGTCACACATCGTCACAAATGTCTGACTCCCCCCCCCCCCCCCCAGGTGCGTGACGTCATTTATGGACGGCCCCCTACGTGTTAAATGAACAGTGTAATCTCTTCGAAATACACACAAGGTGTGGAAAAAAAACGAGCCAACAGCAGTTACTGCACCGCCAAGTTGCAGCAACATCCGCGACAATATGCGGCGTGCATAATTTATCTGCGTTGGCCACGCGCGCCCATTATATAATGGGGCAGCAGAGCATTAATAGCGCTGGAGGAAGAGTGGCCGGTTGAGATTCGGACCTCGTTCACTATTACCGAGGTTGGCACAGCGAGCCCTACTGGCCAAGGGCTCCCCTGGCGGTGAGCGCCCGTCAGTGAGCGGCGCTGTCACCAGGACAGGAGTACAATAGGGGGTGGTGGTGGTGGCGGTGGTCGATAGCGGTGGGGATGGCACACGTGTAGACTGCGCTCAGCTCATGCAAAGAAGTTCCACTGACATCGAGCCAGCCACATGTGTATGTAATCTTTTTGTGTGTATACATATATATTTTTTTTAAACAGGCAAAAGGCCATTTACACCAGGCGTCTCTTTCCCCCCCCCCCCCCTAGGCAATGATGGGCTGAGCAGAGAGTGAATGAGCCTCATGTTTAAAGCCCAGGTCTCTCCTTTGCAACAGAGACCGTTTTGATTCAGTTGGCTCACACTCGCTTGATGCATAATGGATGGTGTATTGACTCGATTGATGTCCTTTTTACGACAAAGTGGGAGTCGCTGAGATGCATTCATTACTTTGCAAAAGGCACGCGGTACAGTATTACATATCACGATGAATGCAGTACAGTACCCGTGTTGAACAACTTTTTTTAATTTAGTTTGCATTTGTCATGCGATATACTAGAACTCAAATATCGTTAACCTGCGCTCGCCAACGCTCTGCTCATTACCATTTAACTTTAGAGTCTGTGACAGAAATTGAACGCGCACTTGTGTGTGTGCGTAAGCTGTTTCGATGCGCTGGCCGTTCTGCTGTTCGCAGATACGAATCTCTGAGACGTACGATTTGCAAACGATACACAGAATATAGACCGTGTATGTCCAACACGGCGCCGATGACATCTGCTCCAACCCCTCACGCTAGAACGCGCAGCTGCGCATGATCATGCCAATGCAGCATTGTATAAACGGTAAAGTTATAGCATAACAAAACAACCCCCAGCGCTCAATGCAAAGGGCACACTTTTAGCGGTTTGACCAAAGCAAAGGAGGACTTGAACCTCAATGAAACAATTTTTCGCGGAAAAAAAGTATATTTGGCGAATTGAGTCATTACTTTCCCGGGGTCTTTTTTTGTTTGTTTAATTTCTCAAACCTATTCACGACTGCTCTGAGAAGTGCTTCTGGGCTGTTTGGGCAAGTGTTGTGCTGTTCGCGATCACACCACGCCCGGCCGCCTTTGTATTCCCAGCACTAATGGGGGTTTTTTTGTTCACACACTGTACCAGGAACTCATTTGAGCATGAGTTGACCAAGGAGAGGCCCGGAACCGGGTCTGAAATATCACTTGTCAATTATGTTAGTTAGCCGTAGACGGAAAATGAACGCAGTTCGTCAAGTTCGTGGTGCAGTGTGCTAACATTTTGGCCACCACGAATGGTCAAATACAACACACACACACTTTCCCACGTATAAGCATGGAAATAACAATTAACTGCCTCTTAGAGCCAATGTTGGCAGAAGGCTTTGAAAACAGTCCATTTCACAGCATTACATACAAGCCAAAATGCCATACAATGGATCGCAATGATTCAGTTATGCCCATTTATATAGCTCTTTTAATCAAGGATCTCAAAGCGCTGTAAAGTGCCGGCAATTGGGCTCGCTTGATCAAATGTGCCTTTACAGCGGATGGAGTGGCGACATGCAGTATTTATGCATTGCGGTCATAAATCATGTTGACGATGAAACCGGCAAGAGCTGACAGTAGCCCGACTGTCACAAACACATTGTCACGATCCCGGCTCTTTACAATTGCCGACACTGTTTGAATGCAGATGCAGGAAAGTTCACACACACAGACACAAAAGACAAGACGTACACGCAAGCATCTCTCTGCACACGCTCGCCACTACCCACCTGACTCTGCGAAGCTAATAATCTCAGAGCTCTGCTCGCTGGGGTCGCTCCCTCGCGTCGCCTGGTGCTGACGATGCTGATGCTGCTGCTGCTGATGATGCTGCCCTCCAGCCTGCAGACGGCGTAGCGCATTGAGCATGGTGGCCCGTGGAACGGGCTGCGTGATGTTGGGCCGCTCTCGCATCTGGAGTCGAGCAAGGATGTGTCTCTTGACCGCCTCGGTCAGCAGGGACGTGTCGGCACCCGCGTGCTGTTGCTGTTGCTGCTGTTGCTGCTGCTGCTGTTCATGAGGACCGCACGTCCAACAGCCTCCCGAGGTGGCGCTCAGAGACGCGTTTCGCAAGTCCCTGGCCGGCGTTGCGGCGCTCACTACCGAATTCGTCGTGAGCAGCATGAGCAGGGCCAGCACCGTCATGATGGCCAGCGGAGCGGTCTGCATCACGCAGCGCAACGTGGAGATGGAGGAAGTCTGGAGGCACCGCACGACGTCTGTCTGCCTGTCTGCCGAGCACCGTGCTCCTTGAGACTCTGTGCGATACGCGGCAATGGCACACGCGCGGTTTGCACGACTTCAGCGCTTGCAAATAACCCCTCTGCCTAATTTGTTGTTGCGCGCGTGCGAATTAATAAATATAACTATTGGCGACAACAGCAGCAGCAGCAATCGGAACCAAAACTAAATTGAGGAGCTACAAGGTATTACGGCAGCTTGGACCAAAAAACAACAAAACGCGCGAAGTTTTGTTGTTGTATTAGTTGTTCAAGACGAAGTAATGTGACAACCAAGCCCTAAGTCGCGCAGCAAAGTTTCTCTTAACTTGCCCCTTCCGAGATAGATTCTGCTGCCTCTGTGAGCGCCGTGTCGCCGTGGGCTCTAAGAGCTGCGAGCTACTCACTTCTCACGGAGCTCCGAGCTGCGAGCTACTCACTTCTCACGGAGCTCCGAGCTGCGAGCTACTCACTTCTCACGGAGCTCCGAGCTGCGAGCTACTCACTTCTCACGGAGCTCCGAGCTGCGAGCTACTCACTTCTCACGGAGCTCCGAGCTGCGAGCTACTCACTTCTCACGGAGCTCCGAGCTGCGAGCTACTCACTTCTCACGGAGCTCCGAGCTGCGAGCTACTCACTTCTCACGGAGCTCCGAGCTGCGAGCTACTCCTGCGCTTTAGCCGTGAACCCCGACGCCGCGCGCTTTTAACTGCTCGCCCAAAAGTCATGTCAAGTCACAGTGGCTCCGATGGGCGGGGCCGTCCGCTTGGAGTCTGTCTCTGGCTGGCGAGATCAGCCCCAACGCTGCCGCTGCTGCTGCGGGCTTGGAGAGGATGGGGGTGGCGGTGGTGGCGGCGGTGGGAGGTGTGTGTGTGGGGGGGGGCTGGGTGACGCAAAGAAGAGAGGGGAAAGCCCGTCGCGCGCGTTGGACGCGTGTCAACTACCCCCGGGGCTGGCTGTGCGCTGTCTAAGGGCATGGTCGCTGTTGTTCCCCTCTCGCTGTCTCATATTATTCACTCATCGGCTGCCGGTGCGGAATGACTGTAGCCGGGGCCTGTACGTGCGTCGGGCCGTAGGTAGTCTGCGGTGAGCGAGCGCTGGATGATGGCATGGAAAACAAAATACCGTGTGCGCCTGGAGGTGCTGCGTGAGCGATGCGTGGGACTGTATTGGTGGGAATGGGTCTGTGTGTCGAGTGTGTCTGTATGGGGGGGGGGGGGACGGCGGGGGCGGTACGCGGTAGCGCAGTGGTTCACGCACTGCCCTACGAAACCCCGTGATCTCATTTCGATTTACGGCCAATTACGTGTTGTACACGCGGTCTCTCTCCCCGCGTGTCCCACCCCCCCCGTGCCTGCTGTCCCTGTGTGTAATATCTGTACCTCCGTCTTCATGTGTCTGAATATGGCATGGGCCTCCGCTAGGTCGGCTCAGCTTTAAACGTTCTCTATTAATTGAACATCACCAATGGCGGCAGTAATCATGACCACGTAATTAATAATAACCATATGTCATGATTCATCAACTGCTGGATGAACGCATCCCCAACACGTCCTCGTCATCATTGACTGTCTGAAAGTCGGGGATTCGTCATAGGTGTTCCACACTCGCACCAATTCCCCCCACCCCCGCCGCCTCGGCTGCATGGAGCTGCTTGTCATCCTGCCGTGTGTGCGCGTGACGCTAAGAGCGACGAGAGGAAGTCGACGGGACAGCGATGATGGGGTGGTCGGGAATGCACGCGTGGCGGCCAGCACAGACAGAAAGGGGCTGCTCCGCTCTCCTCATATCAAACTCAAAGTGTCTCTGCTGAAACGAGCGTGGCTGCGAAAGTGGGGGGGGGGGGTGGATCTATGTTCGTCACCAATTACAGCCCTGAGCCAGTATAGTAAATTCCACGTTCGTACGACGGGGACCAGTTTAATCCATTGAACATGTACTGTTCACTGCGAACGTTACATATTGAAACACAAATTAATTATCAAATGACTATTGAACGATGGCAGTCCTGTTCCAGTGGTCGAAATTCCACGTTCCCATTATATATTTAGGTGAACAGTTGTGGGGTTTTTTTTTTCCCACCAAGTGTTGCAACCTCACTTGCTGGTGCCTGTTTTATCGACCCAGGAACAATGATGTTGGGGTTAACCCAATCCCAATATACCATCTCCCTGCAGCGAAATCGCAATTCAACACAATGCACTGTTAAAAGTCACAGCTTCTCCCTGCTCAAACCAACTCGCCGCCAGCTGTCATCGATTTTCGCCGACTCGAGTCAGCAGTCAACATTCGACATTCCGAACACGAGGCCCAGTCTGACCGATACAATACAAAAAAAAAACATCGATACTGATTTTATAACAGCTCCGTAGAGATCCATAGATTGAATCGACCCTTGACTGGGACTTAAACTCGCAAAGCTGCTGCTGCGTGGTGTGAGTCGGACCCTTTCACGACAGAGCAATTCGGTCGAGGGGTCAGCGAGTGTACGCTGAACGCACGTGTTACGAACTCTCACAGTTGACCATACAGTATCGCTTGCATCGTAAGCCTCCTCGAGTAACAGTCATTCCGTGAATGTTTGCTGGCATTAAGCGCAGCGAGGCGTCACGGCAGACACGTTTGCCCGTAACGTGCCACCAATCACAGGTGTTGTGTGTGTGTGTGCGTACAATCTCGAGTAACACAAGCAGGCAGTGCACATAATAGCGCATTGCGAACGATGGTGACACACGGCGTAATACGACTCTGCCGAATGCGCTCCCCTATTAACAGTACTCAAAACCGTAACAAGAGGAGAAGGAAACACTGCATATGATTAAATTACAAGTCGTCGTACGTTAGAAATCCGTACAGGTCTGCTTTTTGGAGATTTGTTGTTGCGCAGTGACGTACACAAATCCTAACCCTTAATCCTACTCAAAATTCCTTAACTCGTGCGCTAATACACGAATACTATAACTAAGATTAAACCCAACTGTTCAACCCATCCTGAACGCCAGACGTACCCATAACACTCGTTCTATTGTTAGCCATGATCTTAATTCACTAGCACCAACCTTAATACTAAACTCGAACGTTCACCTCAATACTAAACTTAATAATAACCCTATCCTGAACCCGAATTCTACCCATGATTCTATCATTAGGGGCCGTCCATAAATGACGTCACGCGATTTTGGACGATTTTTGACCCCCCCCCTTCGTCACACGGCGTCACAAAAAGTCAGACCCCCCCCTCAAATATGACGTCACAAAGCTCTGCCCCCCCCCCAAAATAAAACATGCTTCAAATCGCTTTAAACTCTGGTCATTGTAGTGCGTATTTAATGTGGCGCTGCACTCTGATGTTGTAGGAGAAAACATTTATTAAAAAGTCTATTTAATTTAGTAGAACGTGTTGTCTATCTATTTAAAGTTGCGCATTTTGATGTGACGTCATATTTCTCAACCCCCCCCCGTCACCATCGTCACAAATGTCTAGGTAGGTGCGTGACGTCATTTATGGACGGCCCCTTATCCTGACCCTCCCCTTAAGCCTACCACAACATTGCCGCTACCTCTCACATTGACACCGATCGTATCCTAAACATTGACCATAATCATCGCATTAACCCTGATTACGAACTGAATATATTCCAGCAGCCACTATTGTGTGTCATACTGTGATTACCATTCGCAATACTGTGATTCGTAATATTTCAGTAATTCTACTTAATAAAAAAAAACATGAACTAAGTCTCAGAACTTGCTTTTTTTTCAGGCGTCTCCTGGATTCGGATGCGTTCGTCAATTTCTTATTGAGTATACGTTGTTGTTTTGCGATGGGTGGTAACTTTAGTGCCCCGGAGCAACCAATCAATCTACTTGCCGTACTGCCCCTATGCGGGCCACTTCGTTTCCCAGGCGCGTTTGGCCGCACAGCGCGTGGGCGTCTGGTGGTGGGCGATCTCCTACGGGCGCGAGAGTGTACGACAACACCGAGGTCCGCACCGTGAGATACATGTGCATTGAAAACATTAAACTTCAGAGCGCGTGGTACGCGGCAAAGCGCGTGGCGCAACAACAATAATAACAACAACAATAACAACAACAACAAAAAGCCGCGCACACAATTTGCCATTTTTAACAAAGTGTACAGAAAGGCCGCTTTTCAGCCGGGGGTTTTCTCCGTGTACACCTGAAACCAAAGTGCCTCCCCTGGGGAATTTAAATGGTACAGCGTCTAATAACCCCCACACTGGCCGCCCGCTCATACGATGATAATATGCCGCTGAGTACGCTAGGGCCACGCGCATTCCTCACGTAACACCCCCCACCAACCCCCGCCAGCCTACGGGCCACCTCGCGGCCAGACTTGGTGGGGGGTGGGAAAGTCTGGCTTTTTACACCGCGCCCTTATGCCGGCCACTCAAGAGAGTTATTATTCAAGAGGCTTGGGAACACAGACTACTTGTGGGGTGCACGGTCAACCCTATCTTGCGTTTGTGTGCCGATCTGTTCTGCTTCTTGGGGGTTAGCGGGTGGGGTGAGGGTAGTAGAGGGCAAAGGGATTAGGGCCGTGGGCAGCTTTTTTCGCAGAGAGGTGTTTTAACCCTGAGTGAAAACAAGTAACACCAGATGTGTGTGTGAACAAGATAAGGAGTGCTGTATGGGGCGATCGGAACATGCTCCCCGCTGTGTGGCGCGCGTGGTGGGCACGTTCGAATCGAGTGTTTTGTTTTCTGTGGACATACTGGGCCCCGCCATGTGGAATGTGGAATTTCCACAGCTGTGTCGTGAACGTCAAGTGGAGATGAGCGCCACCCAATCAATGCGTGTTCACGCATCGTGCAGAGCACGCCTGACGTCCGGTGCTCCGCAGACGGGATTCGCGGAGCACACAGAGAAAATCGCGGACGTGAGACGCCAAACATGTTGAGCTGCTAAGGTGATCTGTGGCAGTACAGCAATGAGTTGTAGGATATATACTGCCCCTGTTTTTTTTCAATTCACTGATAGATGAGGTCCTTCCCACGCCGTCCGGGCCACGGGAGTTATTCAACCTTACTTCAGCACGCTGGTCAGTGCGGGTTGGTGAAGATGGGGGGGGCATAGATGTGAAGGCATAGGAATACAGTGCAACAATGGACTTTGTAGCACTGCCCTCTGCTGCCCAGCACAGTCTTTATGGAAACCTGTGTGTGCGTGGTGTTCGCCCATCCAATCACTACCCAAGCTCAAATCTGCTTTGACTCTGAGATCTCGTGAATTCGAGCGCATTCCGGGTGAAGAGGTCACGGGAAATAAATTGCCGGCCCGTTTATAAATGTTATGCCCTCACATCCGTGTGTTTTTTTTTCCTGGGTAGTCTGGTCCCCTCCTATACGCAGTGAGACATTCCAAATAAGGAAATATCTAAATCCTTTGTGCAGCACCTGTTGAATCATAACACGAGTCTCAACACTCATTCGCGACTTTTCCAGAGGAGTGCATCATCATTATTATTACTATTGCTACTTAACCGTGGTTACCGGCCATGACTTTGTATTTACATTGAGGCACGCTTCCGTGTAAAACCCAATGCCACAATGACGCAATGCTCTCTGAAAAGAGCCATAAAACGTTTCAAAAGTTCCCCCGTTCTCAAGAGACGTTGTCCGTTATTGATCCGTGTTGGCAATCCTGAACGATTGGTAAATATTATTCCACGTTCATATGGTGGGGCCCAGTCCATCTGTAGCGCAAAGTGTATCCCTGCTTAAACGGGCAGTGGTCAGGGATAGAAATCCCACATTCTCAGGGCGAGATCTATACTATGTATACAATGAAACCTGTTGATGTCTTACAGAGTGGTGATCATTTTGACGATCCCAGAGAGATGATTGACCGAGTGTACCCCGAAACTAAGACTCTCCAATTGATTGCACCCATTTGACTACAATGCCTTAGGTTCAAATTACTCCTCGATACTAGGTGGTCCTAATTGTATCGACCTCCGAAATGGTCATAATGATAATACAATGAAGCACCTTGCTGCTTAATAGATTCATCACATTCGAGCTATAAATGTACCTAAACTGCTAGAATTCCCCTCTTCCTATACCAATGAATCACACTTTGGTCTCGTGGTAAAAGCACATTTCGAAATTGCGTCATTCACCGCTTGATTTTTTT